CTGGGCGCTGTCCCTCAGCTCTTCAGCTCAAGGCTAGTGCTCTACCACTTGAGCCACAGCACCACTTCCAGCTTTTTTCTTTTTTGCTTATGTGGCGCTGAGGAATCAAACCCAGGGCCTCATGCATGCAAGGCAAGCGCTCTACCACTGAGCCACCTTCCTAGCCCTCAATATCTTTTTTAAAGGAATATTTTTGTTCTGCTATAACCTTCTGTTTTGTTCTGGTATAGCCTTGTATTTTGCGCTCTACCAATTGAGCCACAGCACCACTTCCAGTTTTCAAGTAGTTCATTGTAGATAAGAGTCTCACGGACTTTCCTGCCCAGGCTGGCTTTGAACCTTGATCCTCAGATCTCAGCCTCCTGAGTAGCTAGGATTATAGGCATGAGCCACCAGCGCCCGGCTAGTGGGGAGCATTTTCTAAAATGATTAGTTGTAAATATGAGTAATGATGAATATCAGTCTTTTGATTGTAGTTGATGTTACTTTTTCATCTTCTAGACATAAACTAACTAGAAAATTTTAACTATAGCTGAATCATAAAGTCATTGGTATAACTGATATAGAAGGGGAGAGGAAAAGATATGTGGGAGAGAAAGATGATCACAACTGTAGATCTAAATGTTATTTTTTTTTTGGTCTCAATTTTCGGTTTTCAGAAAATGATGACTTATTTATGATGCCCCGAATTGTTAATGTGACATCATTGGCTACAGAAGATGATATCGTAGACATTGCAGGCAGCAAATACCCTCATGAAGTTCCGGATGGCAAGCCACCTGACCACCTGAGAGACACCATCAGGAATGAAGATAACTCTTTAGGTAGAATTTCTTCCAGAGGAAGTCATAGAGATGGCAGGGTGACATTGGGTCCAACCCAAGTTTTTCAGGCAAATAAAGATTCTGGTTTTCCACAAATAGATGTTTCTAGTATGCAGGACACACATGGGTTCTTACCTAAAAAGACTTCTGGTGATATGAGAGGGATTCGATATAGTCGAAAAGAAGGTGAATTGAAAGGAGAAAGACTAAAGACAAGGGAATCTCCATTTCATAAGTTTAAGATGAAAGATCTCAAAGACTCAAGCCTAGAGATGGAACTGAGGAAAGTTGCTTCAGCTATAGAGGAAGCAGCTCTGGATCCTGGTGAACTGCTAAGCAACATGGAAGATGAGGATGACACTGATGAGACCCTGACTTCATTGCTCAATGAGATTGCCTTTCTTAATCAGCAACTAAATGATGACACTGTTGGCTTGTCTGAACTGCCTGGCTCTATGGATACGGACTTCCCAGGGGATTCTCGACGGACTTTTATCAGTAAACTTCCTCCTGGAAACAGAACAGCCTTCCAGGTTGGCCACTTGGGACCAGGTTTGAAAGAAATAACTGATGTTCAAGGAGAAACTGACTCTATCAGCCCCCTCCTCTTGCACTTGGAAGATGATGACTTTTCTGAGAATGAAAAACAACTTGTAGAAACAGCGTCTGAGCAAGATGTCCTTAAGATTGTCATTGACTCTGAAGTAAAGGATTCTTTCCTTTCTCACAGGAAATCTAGTGATGGAAGGAAGAGTACTTCTGGCATCCCTGCAGCACCTGAAATTGTGAGCTCACCTCCAATCCTACACATGAAGACGGGCCTGGAGAATAGCAACACAGAGACTGTGTGGAGGCCTATGCCAAAGTTGGCACCTTTAGGTTTAAAAGTAGCCAATCCTCCCAATGATACAGATGGTCAGAGTCTCAAAGTAATGCCTTGTTTGGCACCTATATCTGCCAAAGTTGGGCACAAAATAAACTTACCAGGGAGTGACCAGGAAGGCCGGGAGAGCAAGGTGATGCCTACATTGGCTCCTGTTGTGGCTAAATTGGGCAAATCTGGGGTCTTACCAAGTTCTGCAGGGAAATGAACTTATTTGTCCTCATACAAATCAGGCTGTGATGGGAAACGGAATCCCGTGTTCTTTATCTGGGCATCTTTTTATTGTGTCATGGAACTATGGTCTTTGACTTTGATGATGTGTATTGATGGAGAAAGGGATAGGGTGCTGATCTTGGTATAAGAAATACTATGAAATTCTGATCATGCTAAAATTTGTTACCTCACTTGTGGTGCTGGATCCTTTCATCCTCTTTAAGAAGATGTGATCCATTACTAAACATGAGGTTCCCCTCTTACCCAAGAAAATCTTAACAAGACTCTGGCTTCACAGTGGTACCCTCAAGAGGAAAAGCTGCTTAGACTGGAATTGCTATCTGCTAAACTGTCATAGTTGTTGGGTTTGGCTAAGGAATGGACTGGAGGGAAAGAATCTGGAAGAAGTAGTTTTTAGATGGTATTTCAATAACAGGGAGATATATAGCTCTTATGTGCATGGTGGCACATGCCTGTAATTCCACTACTTGGGAGGCTGAGACAGGAGGATCACCAGTTCAAGGGCAGCCTGGGGTACAAAGTAAGGCCCTGTGTCAAAAACAAAAATAGGTAAATCACAGCAAAAAAAAGGGAGAGAGAGGATGGGTATTAGGGAATACCAAAGTAAAGGATTTTATGTCATTCAGCAGAATTTCTCTTTCATACCCAAGTAGCCTCTGCTCTCTTACCTTTCCTGTTTGAATTATAAATTGAAGCCTTCAGGTAAAATAGGGACACTTTTAGCTTTTAGTACTAAGGTAATTAATTAGAGATGTTTAAAATAATGTAGTCCTCCCTTATTGTCTTTCTGAATGTGTTTCACAGTGCTGGGGGTTTCTACCCAGAATATGTAATTATGAAAGTAGGCTTAGGTCTACTTCCTCCTTCACAGACCACCTCACTAAGAGACAGCTAAAATAAAAAGCATTCTCTCTCCAAACTAGAGATCGTGGCCAAAATAAATAGTGGGGCTGTATATTTCCCAGTTTAAACAGCTCCTGGTGCTTGAAGGTTTCGCTCACTGCTACCTGCACAGGATGTAAAGACAAGTCACACTAGGCATTCTTTACCAGGGAAGTAAGGCAGTATTTGAATCACAAGATATATTTTTTATCTGCTATCATGGATTCAGTGATCTGTAGAGCTTTTTCACTCATTAGCTGTCAGGGTATGAAGGACTGGCAGCCGTGTAAAGATAAAGAGATATTTATATTTTTGTATAGTTGTTTTCATAGATTTCTCAAAGGCTGAAGTTTTCAACCTAGAAGATGAGATTTGTATTGGGTATAGAAATGATGTTTCCTATCTAGTTTGTAAATAATCATGGTGCACTTGAGGGGTCTCAGAAACTCCTGGGGGCAAGAATCACTATTCTGAAAATGTATAGACTGGGATTTAGCTGCTGCATTTTGCCTTTCTTAAATAATTATATTTTGGAATGTAACCCTTGTTCTGTCTTTATTGACAGGATTTGCTTGTGTTGTAAAACACTTAACACAAGAGCTTCCAGTGCCTGGGCTGTGCCTGGGCGATGCTATTTCTTCTCTATCCCCTGCCTTTGTTATCCCATGTCCCAGGTTGTGAGACCAACTTTGGAATGGATCTAGCCAGTGAATTATCTTCCATGATTGATTCCCCTTCTGTTAACCCCTACAATCAACAGATTGCAAAAGATGGGGAATATTCTGCAAAGAGCAGTGGGAATAAACTATGCTGCTTGCCTTTCTAGACCTGCTCAACAGCACTTAACCTTTAACCTTTCCTCTTGCTGAAGACATTTAACAAAGCAAGGAGTGTTCTTCAGCTTCCCATTATCCTTTCTACCCTTTACCCCACAGATTTCATTCAATGCCTTAGCCCATGGAGTTCAGCCTCTGTATCCCTTGTTAATAGTTGTCCTTGGGGTATGGCAGTTTCTCATTGCTTGTCACTTCCCCATGTTCTGACTTAGTTCTGAGGGTCAGTCAGGGAGCAGGCAAGGGAGTGAAGAAAAATCCTCAGGAAAAGAAGGACCATTTTAGCTTCTGAATACTTTAGCTTTTTTTAAAAAATAAGAGAATAGCAAAACAGGTCAAAGTCATTTCTTGATTTGTGAGTATCTGGCTGTGTTTAGAAGAGATATAGAAAGATAGAAATGAGGGGTGATTCTGGGTGTTCAGGGAAGGCTGCAGACATAACGAAGCCCCAGGATAACAGTGTTCTCTCAAGACAGGTCTAGGAGTGGTCAGGGTTCAGTCCAGAACAGGCCTTGCAGTCTTGACAAACCTAAAGTGTCCCCCGAACTCCTGCCATTTAACCTGACCCTGGAAAAAAAAACTGATCTATGAAAATAACAAGTATGATTATGACAGGTGAAGTTGAGTGAGAAGATTGGAGGAACCTAGAAGACAGCTCTCATCCTACTATAAGAAGCATGATCTCAGTAGACCAATAATCCGCCTTTTATACATCTGTAAATAAATGGAATGTTTTTAAGGATATAATTATGTCAGATTTAGCATTTTCATTTATATATTAAATATATATCTTTCATTTTCTGCTTTTGAAAGTGACTATTTTTTTAGAAACAAGAATAGCAGGTTTGGTGATTGAAAGGCAAGATGTATAAGCTTGAAATAAACCAGTTCTACTAATTAAAGCAGAATTTGCAGTTCAGAGGTTTGTGCTGAATTGGAGTAGAATTTTTTAAAAATTTAATTGTGAAGATGCTGTACAGATGGGTTACAGTTACATGAGTAATGTAATGAGTACATTTCTTGTCGAGCATTGTTACCCCTTCCTTTGTTCTTCAATTATCCCTTCCCTCCAGCTGGAGCAGAAAATTTGTAATGAGATGTATATTTGAGGGAGGGTATCATTGAAATTTTATCATAGGAAGTCCTGTTTTGTAGACCAAATTTTTTGGGGGGAGGGGCCTGAACTCTGTGCCTGGGCACTGTCCATCAGCTCTTCAGCTCAAGGCCAGCGCTCTACGACACTTGAGCCACAGCGCCACGTCCGGCCTTTTCTGCTTATGTGGTGCTGAGGACTCGAACCCAGGGCCTTATGCATGCAAGGCAAGCACTCTACCACTGAGCCACCTTCTCAGCCCTGTTACCAAATTTTTTGACATGGTGTTTGGGGGGAGGTTTTTGGTAATTCGAATCCTTGTAATATATCTTTTTTTTTTTTTTTTTTGGTCAGTCATGGGGCTTGAACTCTGGGCTTGAGCGCTGTCCCTTAGCTCTTCAGCTCAAGGCTAGCACTCTACCACTTGAGCCACAGCGCCACTTCTGGCTTTTTCTTTTCGTTTATGTGGTGCTGAGGAATTGAACCCAGGGCCTCATGCATGCAAGGCAAACGCTCTACCACTGAGCCACCTTCCCAGTCCCAGGAAAATAGTTTTTATTTTTGGTCGGTCATGGGGCTTGAACTGGGCCTGGGCGCTATCCCTCAGCTCTTCAGCTCAAGGCGAGCGCTCTACCACTTGAGCTACAGCGCCACTTCCAGTTTTCTGATCGTTTATTGGAGATACGAGTTTCACGGTCTCTCTTGTCCGGGCTGGCTTTGATCCTCAGATCTCAGCCTCCTGAGTAGCTAGGATTACAGGCGTGAGCCACCAGCGCCTGGCTGAAAAATAGTTTTTAAAGGCAAGATGTTAAAGTTTTATCGTTTATAGGAGTTTTTTTTTTTTAAATTAAGGGAATCCTTTAAACATGAAGCTGTTTCTGATCATCTATTTAAGGTCGCTGACAGATCAAATTCAATCAGCTTTATAGTATATGCATTTACTTCAGCTTTATAGTATATGTATTCACCCATTCCCAGGATTATGGAGATGAAATACTGGAAGATGTTTTGAATGCTGAAGAAAGTTGACAATGTAAACAGTATTTTTGGTAAGGCTTGGTAGGTTTGTTATCATTGCTGTCATCCCCACCCTCTCCCCAATACTGGTTGAAATATTTGGTCTACAAAATAATGGTAGCCCTTGTCCTTCCCAGACTTTAAAAAAAAAAAATACCCCAAACCGCAAAACCAAGCACAGTGTAGGAAGAACATTTTAAGGTCCTTGGAGAATGATGGGCAACCAAGAAATTGGGACACATTTCTTTTGTGAAATTGAGTTTGAAAGTGCTATAAAGGACATCAATACTTCCATATATTGCTGCTAAATAATTTTTACATGGGTATGACAGTGAACACAAAGGAAAAATAAAGCTCAAGTGGTTACGCATACTGCCAGTGGAAGAAAGGAAAAAGTTAAAACGTGTATTTGAAGTAAAGGGAAGTTGATACAAACAGCTTTTAAACTGATATAGACAACAATTTGATGTATACAACTTGAGTAATAGTAATGGTTGTGGGGGGTGGGTTATGGAGGGTTGGTAGAGACAGATCTATAAACAATTACATTTTATCACAAACTACTAGAAGAAGGGATTGTGTTACTAGGAAAGCAGAATTGGAAAGCCGGTGGTTCACGCCTGTAATCCTAGCTACTCAGGAGGCTGAGATCTGAGGATCACGATTCAAAGCCAGCCCTCGTGAGACATTTTTTTTTGGCCATGTGGCTTGAACTCGGCTTGGGCACTGTCCCTCAGCTCTTTAGCTCAAGGCTAGCGCTCTACCACTTGAGCCACAGCACCACTTCCAGCTTTTTTCTGCTTATGTGGCGCTGAGGAATTGAACCCAGGGCCTCATGCATGCAAGGCAAGCACTCATCACTGAGCCACCTTCCCAGCCCCCTCTGTGAGACACTTTATCTGCAATAAACCATTAGAAAACTGGAAGTGGTGCTGTGGCTCAAGTGATAGAGCGCTCACTTTGAGCTGAAGAGCACAGGGAAAGCTCCCAGGCCCAGAGTTCAAGCCCCATGACCGACAAAAAAAAACAAACCAGAATTGGAAGCATTGTCTTGAGTTCCATCCTGTCTGCATCTGCAATCCTTGCTCCCAGATGTCCACAGTGCCTTGCATGTAAAGGTGCTCAATATTTGAATGAGCTAATGTTTACTCTAGCCTGAAACTCTCCTAGGATCTTAGAATTGTCCCTTATTTCCCCCATGGTGAATTTAAAATTTTATCTAACAAGACAACTGTGTAACATCTATTCCCAGACATCCAGAATTGGAGAATCTGACAAACACTGTACATGTTTAGGACACACACAAGCAGAATAAAAGTGAAATGGTAGATGGATGATGAAATAATTTCTATGAACAGCAGCTCCCTTTTGGATAGTAGCATGGCAAGTCTTTGATAAGAGAAAGGAAATAACCCTTCTTCTCACCCTAGACCTGGTCTGTTATTTTTTGAGTGGTCATGAAGCATGGTAAGGGCTAACAGCCTGTTATTCCTGTACTGACATCTCACCAAGCTTCATGGTGGACTGTGAAGAATTTTAAGATGTATGGTTTTGGCTTGACCTTCATTATGCTGTTAGGTTTTTCAGCGTTAACAAAGATCTCTGTAGATCATCTATAGACAGGAAACCAGGAGCCTGTGCAACTCAGGTTTAGATGAACCATGCTGGGAAGATAATCTCTTAGGG